GACAAGTTGAGAGAATGAATCGCACGTTAAAGGGAATTCTGACAGCTTATGTAAATAAGGACCATAATGATTGGGACGATCACTTACCACTGGCCTTGTTTGCATACCGTAACAGTGTGCATTCCTCGTCTGGGGTTTCACCTTTCCAGGCAATTTATGGTCGCGAAGCCACTACACCGCTGGTACTTATGGACACCGAAACTGAAGTTAAGGAACAGTTTATTTCAAATTACTGTGATGAACTGGAGAAGACATTAAAGGACGTACATCGCAGCATCAAAACGAACATTGACGTGGCGCAAAGTAAGCAGAAGAAAGGGTACGACGAACATAATGACGTTGACCGAAGTACAGCGCTAAAGGAAGGGGATCGGGTGTGGCTCAATAACAAAGCGGTACCAAAGGGCTTGAGCCGAAAATTCCATTCACCGTGGACGGGGCCTTACGTAGTGATCAAGAGACTGGGCAAGGTAAACTACCATATCAAGCCGGGGCCTGGGAACGGTAAGACAAGAGTGGTACATCGCAATCGACTTAAGCTAGACATCCGCCAGCCTAGAATCGAAGAAACCCTGTCTGTTGATCAACCAGAAAAGCACAACTCGAGAGTCGAATTGCTCCCAGGCGAGCCAGTGATACATCACGGAGAGAGGCTGGCGGACGCACAGCTGTTACCAGCAGAGGAGCTGATCCAATTGCGTAGGTCTAACCGTAATCGCCGACAACCTGATAGATATCAGGATTATAACTTAGATGAACTAGAGATCGAGGACGCTCTCAATTAAAGAGGGGGATATTGTAACATATGCTAGTGATTATATGGTTTAATAGGGATTAAGTAATAAGAGACGTTTTATATAGATATCTGATTACAGGTAGAGACTGGGGGGAAATGTGATTGTATACAAGACGAATATAACAACAAGAGCTCTTTTGAAATAGTATTGTTTCCTTGTTTGTGTATATTACAAGGCACGTACGTCATTTAGGCATTGATACATACTAACCTACTTAATTTAAAAATTTATTTAACCACGCTGACCATACACAACATATTTGTAAAATTTGTAAAATACATACTCCTACGAGTAGCTAAATTTGCCCTATAGACATAAATTAATAACTAAAATCTGTCTCAGCGCTAGGAATGTCTTGTCTGTAAACCACTCGTTACACGTTTGCTTCAACCAATCAAAAGGTAACTCCAACCAATCAAAAAGAACGCCGGAAAAGCACATCTCATGTTGAAGGCAATGAAGGTGTCGGCAACCGCGCCTAAATACCGACTGTGAAGAAATTCGAGCGTTGTGCGGATGGACATAAATTTGATATTATATCATGCTCTCAAATATTTGGGCAAGACGCTACTGGAAACACGTTTATTTTCTTAATTTCGTTAAGATAAAGTCCATAAACACGAATTGAACACCCGCAATTATTCTTTATCAAAAATAGTAGAAAACCCATCACAATGAAAGCAACAGCCGCACCCGCGGCCGACAGTGAAATTCGCGTTGGATGGTTGGCGTAAATTTGATATTGAGACTCTCTCGTTAGGCAATGCGTTCATCAATTGCCCATATGCCTTGCATACAACCGCGGCTCGATACTGACAATGAAGTTTGACAATAAATCAAGTTAACGTTATTTTGAGAATCAACAATCAACATGCTACCCTCGTAATAGCTACTTGTTGATCGTATGCATCAATACATTTTAGTTTTTAATAACTTATAAGTGCCTAAATGATTTGGTTCCAGTATATCTAAGTGATTATTTTGTTAACAGCAGAAGACTAAAAATATCGAGATAAAGATATAAAAGAAATCATCGTTTATCATGTTACTAATTATTAAACCTTTCCAAAAAACCTTTGCATTTTCGTACACAGAGTCCTTGTTTTGAATCCGGTTTTGTCTATTTCGAGTCCGGCAATTCAAAAGTCAAGTCCGGGTTTTCTTAAACACGAGTCCGGATTTTTTTCGAGTCCGAGTCCGGGTCCGAGTCCGGTCCTGGTTTCGAAGTATGCCCTGCCTAGGGTGTAAAAGCGAAGGCATCAAAACCAATCCCACCCAGTGAAGTATTGTCAAGTGAAAATAAGCACGTCTCCTCTTTTCAGCGCGCACATACCATACAGTCAATGGCAAAAACAACATTTTAAGTTTACTTGTTAGATCTGATTCACACAGGGTAGGTTTGTAACACTTGTCACACGGCATCGTTATCATCCTTTTATAATACCGGACGCAAAAACGTAATTGTATTTAGCGCAGAAGTAAATCATTCCTTTGTATTATATGATATTCTCCACCAAATATATCTGTTCCAGTTTAAATTGAGCAACCTGTCTCGTACAAACGTAGTGGAGTTAAACCAACCGATAATTAACATTTAAAATGTTATTTTACGTTTTTTTCATTAAACCAATTCATTTCACTTCACTGCCTGGTACTGTCTGTTTCGAGCATGCCCAATATCAATTTTCGAGCTGTAGTAAACAAAGGGGAAATCGCCATGGGGTGGTCCATTACATTAGCATAACCTAACTTATGCGAGGCCTACAGAAAAAACTAAAAGCGGTAAAGACAAGCTGATTATTTTAAATAATGTGTAATTTATCAGGGAAGAATGAAAAATAATATTTAAAGGATATGTTAATTTTTGGCTGAGATAGAGCGTTTTTAGTATGCTGGCTTGTCGACTGACTTGCGGTAAGTGTGAATATGTGGCGGTTCGACGACTCGTCTTGTGCAAGCTGTTCAGTCAATGTTTAAATCGGTATAAGCTTAAAAATAATCTCATATGATGCGAATATTATGGGTAAAGAAAGAAAAAGAATATCATGACGATAAAGAAACTTGTGGCGGAGAATAAGCGTTTTGAATCGCTAAGCGGCACGCGTGTTTGCACTCTCCATCAATATGTCGCTGTGCGATGACAAAACTTATGCGAGGCCTACAGACAAAACTAAAAGCGCTAAAGACAAGCTCATTGTTTTAAACAATGTGTAATTTATCAGGGAGAAACGAAACATAATATTTAAAAGATATGTTAATTTCTAGCTGAGATAGAGCGTTTTTAGTATGCTGGCTTGTCGACTGACCTGCTGTAAGTGTCAATATGTGGTGGTTCGACGACTGGTCTTGTGCAAGCTGTTCAGTCAAAGTTTAGATCGGTATAAGCTTAAAAATAATCTCATATGATGCGAATATTATGGGTAAAGAATGAAAAAAAATATTATGACGATAAAGTAACTTGTGGCTGAGAACGAGCGTTTTAAATCGCTAAGCGACACGCGTGTTTGCAGTCTCCATCAATATGTCGCTGTTCGGTGACATAACTTATGCGAGGCCTCCAGAGAAAACTAAAAGCGCTACAGACAAGCCAGATGCTTTAGGTGATGTGCAAATTATCAGTGAAGAATGAAAAAATTTATTATAGCGTTACATTTATTCCTTACGACGATACAGCGATTTAGATAGGAACTAACCGTGTCTTGCTCAAGATTTAATTGACTCAACACGGTTTGGCGACTTGGCTTATGCAAGCTGTTTAGAGCAGTCTAGAAGCAGTAGCGACTCAGTGATTGCGCTATATGATAGTCCTTTTCTTGAAGAAGAATGAAAAAAATTATTGTTTGGATGGGTGAAGGCTTTGTGGAGTTAGAGCCATTCGAACACGAACGCCATGCCTCTGGCTCCAGATTCAATCTGAAACTGGAGCTGCGAATCTGAAACTGGAGCTGATTGGCTTCTCGTAGTTCATTACTGTGACTGAGAAAAAGGGATGCATTTTTTGCCAAGACCAGGGGTTAAAGAGCAATCACAGGTGACATATATATTAAGCATGTGCGTCTCATCACAATTAACCTGAAATTCAGGCCCTATTAAATTTTAAATAGGGCCTGACACAAAACCTGTCTAGACCGTGGGCACAGACGCCCACATGTTATTTTTAGGTCACAGTCAGTGCAACATGATTGCACAAAAAAATTATATTCTCATGAACATGTCCGCAGAGTGTGCATTTTGTTTTTTAATTAGACTTCAAAAATCAAGGTACTTTTATATAATTAAGAGTTCAGTTTCTCTATTTAACCGAACAGCAAACAAAACTTTAATTAGTCAGTTCTGTGCACGGCGTGAATGCCAAGCTTTCTCAAGGTCTCAACTTGCTGGACGCGGATATACTCTAACGGGCTAACAACAGCAACAGCGAAATTCTCAATCATACCACGAAGAAGGCGATGTAGCTCAGAAAACAACGCCGGTAGGACCTGATAAATAAGACTTTTGCCGAAGTCAGTTGGCAGAATAGCAAAGACATCTTGGCTGTCAACAAAAAGCTTGAATTCGAATACATGACTAGTTTTGCTGTTCTTTCAGCGTCGTGTGTCCAAACTTCGTCAAAGATTTTGATAAAGCCCTTTCAAAGTACTGTTTGTTTGATTTATTTTCTGCCATAAAGCATAAAAGAAAAGAAATTCGAAGCAATTCAATAATGGAATTTGATACATGCGTTTGACCTTAATTGTTGCCTTGTGTGCCTTGACCGAGCTATTTTTAAAACTATTGTTTATGTGAACTTGCAACCAATCAAAATCTTTCATGATGCTGATCAACCAATCAGATTTCCCGTCCACCAGATGGATGGGAATCTCACAGTTTAGACAGGTTTTGTGTCGGGCCCTATTTAAAATTAGGGCCTGAACTTCTGGTTATATACATCACAGTTAATGGAATGAGTTGGTTGGCTAGCCGGCAACCATCAAAGGCGGCGGCGCCGGCGAATGATGTTTGGGATCAAAGGGAAAAAGTCACGTGGAAACTTAGCGGCACGGCGCTGTGATATCTTATTCCTGCGAGTGCCGGCGAGCAGCCCCCGGCCCTATTCTTGACATATATATCGATTTGTGCGATTTTTGTTTGTCAGGATGATGAAGAGCACGCGTATATATGTGCAGCGGTTTCATCATTAGTCATATTAATGTTGCATTATGTTGCATGTGTTTACGTTCGAAAAATTGTAGCTAGAAGGCAAGAACTATCGGTAAGTTTTTTTATTGAAATCATGTCAAATTTAAATTTATTTGTTGCTGGAAGCATTCATCAAGGTAGCGAACGATTTTATAGTGACATTTCACGCGGAAGACAATGTTCTTTTATGAGTTTTTCAGCGTTATTATTTGCTCAGACTTTGTCGATCCAACCGTAGACCGCATCTAACGTAGATTAGATTCTTGCTGAGGGAGATCGACTTATATATCTTGATGCTTTTGAAAGTAGATCCATTCCTGACCCAGAGACGTTGTCCCTGAACTACCTGTCCCGTAAGATGCGATGGTCTCTTGACGCAAACACTATGCAAATTTATACTAGACAAACAAACGATTCGCTTCAATACCGTAGCTTGCAACTAAGGATGAACGGTCGTAGATAATTGTCTATTCTTATGACAAAGTACAATGTTTTTACCGAGAAACTTCAATGTTTGTGATGATCATATAATCATCTTGGAGCCGGTTAAACGTGATTGACTGATCAGATTAAAACCTGTCAAGTGTTCTTGACAAACATTGAAGATTCTTACACAAATAGGCAATGTTTTTATCTGCGACTGTCCACCTTAATTGCAAGCGACGGTATTTGGGCTGAATAAAAAATGGCGGATGTTGAGTCGCTTACCAGGGTATCTAATTCTGATCTACTGGTGGTGGATAAAAACTCATGAAACAACGTATCTTTATGGTTAGTAGATTACAAAGGGTTTTATGAAGGGAGAACTA